TCACCAGCGCCACGCTGTGGGATCGATACTCAGGTATAGTTTCTGCAAGACATGAACACTCTCCAAAGTTCTCCAACTTTAATTTGGATCTCCAGTGACGCTGAACAGTTCTTCCACATTTACATAATGATATTTCATCCTCCTTTGATACCTAACATAATATATATCATCACTTCACATTAAATTTGAGTACAATGTGAACCGAGTTCTAACATAAATGTACTCTCATACTTTATGGTTTTAGCACAAAATTTAATAGAGATATTTGCAATTTTAATGTTTATACAACTTAAGTAATGTGTACTCTACGTTTACGCAAAACAATACTTATAAAATCATATTTATAACAGGAGCGAATGATATTGAAGGAATAATTGATGTGTGGCAGGACAGAGTCTGCGCAGTGTGTGTAGCGTCAGTGATACTTGACTCGCCCAGCCGTAACTACGCCATTCTCTCTATCTCTTTTTCTAGGTAAGTCGTAGCCGTGCTATTCCATATGATAACCTAACTCGAGTGACTACAAGTTGAGCAATTACGATGGATATTAAGATAATACTTAAGAACTGTGAGTTGCATCTGCTGAACGAAGAAAAAGAGTGTGAGGAATGTCGGTTGCTGCTGTATTGGGTCAGTGTTCATGGTGTCAGGTTGGCCTGGACACCATCTACTCTAGTTATTACAGTATATCTGCCGTTGTTTTTGTTTCTCAGAAGCTTTGGTTAGACTATTTAAGTTTATGCCAGGTAATTATGATGGTTTCTTGACAAATTCGGCGTATATTCAGACACAAGCAAATGTCACGTTTGAACACCAAATGTTACTAATTGAACATGTCATGTGTCATAACGTTAGTGAGAGATATAAAATTTACCAGCTGTTACAGATAATCTGTGAAGATGAAAGGAATAATATCGTATAGGGAAAAGAATCACGTATTAACAATGCCTATGGGTGTGCCAGGACAGTTGCCATTTATCCCTGGTATTTTATGTGCGTGTTAGTATGAAAGTTGCCGTAGTCAACATGGGACACTTAATACAATTCCTGCACAGGGAGGCATACCAGGCATACCTTCCCCCTCCCCCTTCTATTACTTTGTATCCTAGTATTTTTTTTTTTTTTTTTTTTTTGAAGAAAAGGCACAATACCGTGACTGGAACATTATACAAACAGCCCGAAAAATTAGTTTCAGTATTTCGAAACATATTTCACTGATGTTAAATACTACCTAAATTTAGTTTGAGCTAACATAGGAAAGATTAAACATTTTCATATTACATTAAATCTAGCATTTTAATTTAGGTTGCTGAGATGGTTTTGGTGCAAGTTTCAAAATTTACATTCTGTATGTTGTCCACATACTGTGCTTACTTGTATTCATATTTAGACCTACTTTCGGTTAAGTTATGTAATTAGTTTTATTAAGGTAATGTAATTAGGTTTTTTGTATTATGTGATTAGGTTCAGTTATGTTAGGTTTAGTTAATTATCTTTGTAATTTTGTCGTGGTCTCATGCTGTTTGTGGTTGGTAGTATTTCATTACTTGCTGCTGCTACTACTACTACCACCTTCGTTTCCTATTGTGCTTAGTATGTAGTCATTTGGCTCACCTGTCTTTGTCTCACGTGTACTCTAAATTACACTGTTTTCTAAATAAGTGCCACTCCTAACCCGTTTCCTCAGTATTTGATATCCTTCTGGGAATATTGCCTCTTATCATCTGAGATTTGCTCCTGTAAGAACTTTGATACCCAGGTTACCCCTGTCATTTGTTCTTTCAGTTTGTAAACATAGTGTTTTAGGTTTGCAGGAAAACTTATAAACATTACCTAACCTTAATCAAATTGATCTACAGTCCTGTACCTTAATCACGCAACGTAAGTATTATTATTTATAAAAATTAAAATGGGTTTACTTTGAATGTGAAGTGATTTTCATGGATTTATAGCAAACATTAATGTAGGTTTAAAACCGAGGTTTGTGCACTAGTAAAGGTTCCAGAAATGATGTTTGCATCCTAGCAAGAAGCTCAGGCCCTGGGCTCCTTAATAGCCCAGGAAAGGGTTTTTAACCGAGGTTTGCAACCCAGCAAGGGATTTGAACAGTGCGCCTAGGCAAGTGTTAAGCAGTGGGATCGGGGTTCTTATTCTGGCATGGGGGTGTTTTGTAATTAAAGTTTACATCTTGACAAGAGGCTCAAATCGGGGTTCTCATACTGGAGGGGATCATCTGCGTTTGCAGTCTGTCATAGGGTTCATTCAAAACTGGAAATTGTTTCCTGGCAAGAGCTTCAGGGCCATGTTTGTAACCGAGAAAGAGGGTTTGGAACCGGCGATCTTATCCTAGCAAGGCCTTATTCGAGACCATCTTTTGTGTCTCGGAAGGTTGGGGAAAGGGAAGTTAAGTTTGCGTCTCAACATTTGGTTCAGTGCTGGGGCGGGTCCATATATCTAGCATAGTCTTGTGTGTGTGTGCAACTCATGGGCGTGTCCGTGCCAGTCACATGGGCGTGGCGGAAGAGCTGCCATGGGCGTGCGTGTCTAGTACTTGCATAATGTGCACGAGTCACGAACATACAGTGCCGTCTTATTGTCTCCAGTGTAATTATCTTTTACATAACAATTATCAGTGTCAACGCCTTGTGTAAATCCGATATACCATTTTTTGTTTTTACAATTACTTGTTTATATTTACTGGAGTATAACTTGCTCGTGGTGTCCAGCCCTCAGTGCTTTGTTATTGCATGTAATTTGCTGATGTTTTCAGCCGTTGTAGAACACTTCCCCTCTGGATTACATTCCAGTATTTATTATTATTATTATTGACAACTTATGGGGATATTTTAAACCTACAGGTGAGTCATGCAGATAAAGGGTATCTCCAGTTACCTGGATCAAGAGCCTTGCACCGATGTCAATTCACCTTGAAGTTCAGTTTGCAGAGAATAAACTTTTTGGTACCCTCTCAGTACTACTTTTTTTCTCCTCAGTTTGCAACTGTCCCTCTTGTTTTTTTACCTTCGATGGCGCTAAGAAATTTTTAATCTATATTTTCACAGAAAATATGGTGGTAGTAAAACTCTCGAAACCCATCAAAGGTAAAGGTACACAGTTAATCTTTCTATTGTATTTTTTCTTCTCCATTTTTGTGTTTCAAGTCCTTTAATGAGCATTTATCATGCCCGATAATCATATTAATATGGCAGATTGCCTACTCAAAAGGGGTCACACAGCACCTGGAGAAAGGAAGATAATCAAGTTTGATACAGTGATAGGGAGGACATCTCGACTTCGAATGAAAAACAGTTCAATAGCATCTACTGTGACTAAAAAAATGACCACAAGTTTTTTTTTTTACTCGAAAACCTCAGAATAGTAATATAAATTACTATTGAATTTATAGTTCTAGGGATGGTCTGGCTATGATCATAGATTTAGGTTTCATGATGCAGTTTTACTTTTCCTTGCAGCCCCGCTTCTACAAGGCAGAGAAATGTCAAAACACAGTGAATACCATTCTTAATCTATTCTTTCTATGTCCCAGATACAGAGACTACTACCTAGTCCAGCCTGGCATATTTTGTGGGATTTCCCCTACCATACTTACATTGAGTCGATTCAGGGGGTCATCGCCCTCTTGGCCCGGTCCAAGATCAGGCCCCTTGGTTGATAACCTGATCAGTCATATTGTTACTAGCAGCTTGTGATTTAACGTAAGCACCACAGGCCGGATAATCAGGACTGTGGGGCCTATAGTAAGCTATACATAACAGCCTGATTAGAGGGATATTTGACATGTTGGCTCAGGAAAATAGCTAATGTTGACCCCAGGAACATTTGTGGTTAATGGGCATAGCTTCAGTTTAATCATTTTCACTGATTAGTTAAACTGGAACTGCACAGAATCTTTGAGTTCTAAGAAGCATGATTGCAAATCACTTGGATTCCAAACAGTTGCACAATCCAGGGCAGCATGGGTTCAGAACAGGTCGATCCTGCCTCTCAACTACTTAACCCCCCTCCCCCACAATGGAAGTTCCTTGACGCTGGTGAGGGGCTCTCGATCTAGGGAATTGGATCTGTGCTTCGGTTCCCACATGCGCTGTATAATCATACGGGTTTAGCGCTCCCCATGGTTATAATAATAATAAAGGCTGGTGCTGTATCTAAGTTAATGGTGACGGAAGACGAGAGAGGGGTGGGTAGATTGCATTTTCTTGGACTGCAAGAAGGCTTTCGACACAGTCCCTCACAAGAGATTAGTGCAAAAGCTAGAGGATCAGGCACGTATAACAGGAAAGGCACTGCAGTGGATCCGCGAATACTTGACAGGGAGGGAACAGTGAGTAATGGTACGTGATGAGGTGTCAGAGTGGGTGCCTGTGACGAGCTGGGTTCCACAGGGGTCAGTCCAAGGACCGGTGCTGTTTCTGGTATATGTGAATGACATGACCGAAGGGATAGACTCAGAAGTGTCCCTGTTTGCAGATGATATGAAGCTAATGAGAATTCAGTCAGATGCGGACCAGGCAGAACTACAAAAAGATCTGGACAGGCTGCAAGCTTGGTCCAGCAACTGGTTCCTGGAGTTTAACCCCACCAAGTGCAAAGTCATGAAGATCAGGGAAGGGCAAAGAAGATCACACAGAGTACAGGTTAGGGGGGCCAAAGACTGCAAATCTCACTCGAGGACTGAGTGAGTAGGATTGAGAAATTACCTGAGTGAGCTAAATGGGAACGACCTGACAATGGGTCAGGTAGGGGGTGTTTGTTGCCAATATGACGTCAGAAAAAATAAATTATTCAGGCTTGGCACAAAAATAGCAATATACATTAGTATCACCAAAAATAAAAAATAAAACATTCTTTTCTAAAGAAATAATTATACATTATCAGTACATCAAATATTTACCCCTTGCCATGTAATTTTTTTACCCTCAAGGGGTAAATTTACCCCTGGTTGAGAATCACTGTACTAATGGCTTTTGGTCCTTCAGGTAGCGGCTGATGGCGGTGATGGGAGCATGAGGGAGTCTCTGTGAGCTGGGTAGGAGGGTGACCCTACGCCTGGCAGCTCACTCTCTCCTCGACCAACACGCTTATCCTCGCCGTACTCTGACTCGCCTCCCACCTCAATACTCCTGTACATGGCAGTATATGACAGAGATATTTGGTGCCTTTGGCTGATATTTAACGGGACCACACATCGTCGAAGTGGGGTCTTGTAGGCCCCTTTATTTGTGACCTCTGAAGTTTAGAAACCGCAACCATTGATTCCCCAACAGAAACGGTGGGGTTAGAACCCCCACCACAGAAGAAGAATAGGTGCAGGAACTGTCTCCGTTTCTACCTCACTGCTTTCTTCACACTTGTTGCCTGTTTCAGCTCCTTCGCATTTTTATTCCTTGTTCCTTTCATTATAGACCCAGCTTTCTCCACACTTTTTGCCGACTTCGACCCGGAGCCTAGAATGTGTGTGACCAGGGAGTCCGAGTTCTTGTTTGGACTGAGTAACTGTTCTTGGTCTTCATGTCGGGAGGGCTGCACCAAGGACGTCTTCCAGTGCATACACATATTCGTCAACTACAAGAGGGATACTGAGGGTGAGCTGACCGGCGTCAATTACACAGATGTCGACGAGATAGATCAAATGGAGTGGGATGTTGTCGACGCCAGGTTGTATCCTAACGTAAAAGGGTGTGGTTATCCTCCCACTGTCAACTGCACCATATTCAACAAGACCTATAGTACTCCGGGGAGGACCTTCCCATGTTACTACTCTAGAGAGCAGCCCATGTTGGTTTTAAGCACTCTAGATATCGAAGCCGTCAAATTAGACTTGGTGTACGCTATCGTCATACCATGGGGCTCTTTTCTAGTGTCCATCCTGTACCTGCTCATCACCTATGTCGGGATGAAGAAGCCAGATGCAGAGGGAGATCAGCCACAGGAGGTTAGTTCTGCCAAGGCATCAAAGGAGGCATCAAACTACTCGCTACGCTCCATCGGCAAGACCATCAACCAGGGAATGAACAAGTTAAGAGGCGAACCTGACGACAAGGGGTGAGTAGCCTAGCTTGACATCAACTCGCAGTGTGCGTATGTGTGTGTGTGTGCGTATACGTATGTGTGCGCATTTAATATAACAAGTGATGCCGTTTGGTTTTATTTCAACACTTCATCAATGTCATTCTTACTCTTGTCATGTACTATAATCACTGTGTTTATAAGCCATTACAACCTTTAAATTTAATACTGATGCTGAAATATATTTAGTACACCAAGGAATTTTGCTATTTTCAATACAATAAATATATTAAGTTCGATACTAATACATTGTTCTCCCAGTTGTCTGTATATTGAACTGCCTTTTATCCACACATTAGTATGTAGTCTCACCCCTAAGACCTACTAAGTGTTTGACTTCTCAGTAGTTCCTTTACCAACAAATTACGTGTCCAAAAAAACGTACTGAATGAACACTTATGCCGCCACGGAAGTTCACCACCAGGTGGCAGTGTCAAGCAGTCATTTGTTTTGCTGGGTCTTAAGATACATTGCCCACCCTAATGAAATGTAAATAAACAATAAATCAATATCAAATATATATATATATATATAAATATATATATATATATATATATATATATATATATATATTATATATATATATTTATATATATATATATATATAATATATATATAATATTATATATATAAATATTATATATACATACATAATATATATATATATTTTATATAATATATATATAATATATATATATATATATATATATAAATATATATATATATATATATATATATATATATATATGCAAACAATCGCAGACAGGCGATCTTAACTATAAAAGACAAGCTACTGGGGGTGGAAATCTTTAGTTCAAGTACTTTCACACTTCTTAGTGCGTCATCAGGAGCTATGCAACTGAAGGAGTGAGAAAAAACACCCTCAATCCTTCAGTTGCAACATTGCGTAACTGCTGATGACGCACTGAAAAGTGTGAAAGTACTTGAGGTAAAGATTTCCATCTCCCAGTGGCTTGTCTTATATATATATATACATATATGCATGTCGTGCCAAATATGTAAAACTTGCGATTTTGGCTTAAATAGCAACGCTCTTCTTGCCGGATAAGGCAAGCGAAAATTTGTGTGCGATAATTTCGCAAAAATCATTCTGAACCTAACAAAAAATATATATTTCATTGTGTTTGTTTATTATTAAATTATTGTAAGCTTATTCAAAATGTATTTAGTTGGATTAGGCGCTTGTTATAATAAGGTTAGGTACGTTTTCTAAGGTTCTTTTGGTACAAAATTATTAAATTTTATATTAACATAGATAAAAACAATACATCTTTAAACGTATAAGAGAAAATTTTAGAAAGGATTTAATTTTAAATGAGTTCTTGCTAATTAACCAGTTTTACTTATGTGGCACGACACAACACACACACACACACACACACACACACACACACACACACACACCACACACACACACACATATATATATATATATATATATATATATATATATATATATTATATATATATATATATATATATATATATATATTATATATAATACAAACGTACATACTTATACATGTAGGAGGTGGTAAATATTAGCACTCTTGAAATGTTTAGTGCACAGTTTGCTTATCAACTTTCTATATTACTCTAATTTTTAAAGGGGTGGACGGGTAAACCAGGTAAAAACCTCGGCCAGATAATTAAAAACTCCAGTGGAGGGTCATGTGACCAAGACCCGCTTCATGAAACACATGCCATATTTACTAACAACTCGTATCTACCTATCAACTTCATAGTGGAAATTCACTTAACCTTTTCAGGATATTTTTCTGGTACAAAATCATGTCAGTGTATCATCCAAAACAACCATTTAAAATGCAATTTACAATATCAAAAGCTCAGAGTAAAGCTTAACAAATAAACATACAAGTTAGGACACTAAGCTTTTTGTCCAACATGAATCCTGCAGCTGCTGAGACACGTCACAACGATGATGTAACAGGAAACGAGACACACCAGAAGAGGATAACCTCCAATCATTTAAAAATAAACAAGTTAATTGCTGAATCATTGTCTTCAACTTGGTATTCAAGTTGCCTAATTCATAAACTCTAGAATTTCTAAACTCAGTGCATTCTATGCCTTATCTATAATTTTAAAAGATTCTAGTTCTAGTTCATGGTTATTTTTTTTTTTTTCAAAATGAAATGTGGTGATTGTGTTAGCTTGACTAGAGAAAAGGGAAAGACTTCTGCTGTGTAATCCTGCGTTCATACATTCTTGTTTAAAATTCTGAGAAAATACTTCCTATATATCCAGTGATACACTTATTACAGCTGAAACCAATGACAGTACATTTCAGCACAGAGGAGATGCAACGAGATCTTTAAACATGAAATGAGTACATAGGGAGGTTGTTGAAAAATGGCATAGCAGACAAGTGATAAAAAAAAATTAAACAGCAAAAAGGAAATCTTTAAATTAGTACATGTTATCAACATAAGACTTTACCAAATACTTGATGAAGCCTCAAGTAGGTGAAACCTCGTATCAATACACGTCTTCTCGTGTATTTTTTTTTTTACCACTACTTAGAGGGTTAACGAAAAATAACCTTAGAGCTACAAATGGTTATAACTATGACCATAATTTTTAAAGGGGTGGACCGGTAAGCCAGCTAAAAGCCTCGGTCAAATGACTAAAGGCTCCAAAGGCGGGTCATCATCTAAGACCCGCGTCAGGAAGCACTGTCCTGTTTCCTGACAAACCTTACCTTACCTAACCTAACCGCAAATAACCTTAAAATTAATTGTAGTACAATATTTTACAATATTGCTTTTGAATATTATAACTTATATAATCATAAAAAAAAATTAATACAATGGACATAATTAAGAACTGTGACTAAATGCATTCTGGTTGAGATTTTTTTTCCAAGAGTGATTTCAGTCTTTTCAAAGCAGTTGTAGAAGATAGCTATTGCTTAAGAATTTTTTCAAGACTTAATTTCAGTAATAAAGGAAGACCTAAGAGAACATATGAGTAGCAGCTGTTAAAGTTTGCAGTTTTCCTGAAAAAATTGGTACAAAGAATAAAAATGTACCGAGGAAGCTATTATTGAAATGATCATCATTAACATCGAAAAAGATGACTAATTGTTTTCCTTTTCCTTTTGTACAGTCAATACACTATTTCTGCATTTGGAGTTTAAATTTGTCTTGATTAACCCTGAATATGGCCTTAAAAAACGTAAGAAGACATAATCCACATAACTCCCATGAAGTATTGGTTTTAAATTAGTTGGATTGTCATCATTCATGATCTTTTTATAATAATGTAGATATATTTTAGCAAGAGTTCGTCCTGAAGGAGAGTCCAGTATCACTCCATCTATCTGTGAATGAAAATTTTTGTTAACATTAAATAATGAACCATTAACTGATAGCCGAAGTCATTTTTTTAATCTTTTTATATTGAAACCTTACAACTGAATCTGTATCATAAATAAACCATTAATACATATCTATCGTATCTTAGCAAAATGTTGGTAGATAGTGACTGCATCAGAACTGGCCATAACAACATTAAGCTGAAAATAGCTAACAATTTTTGACAGAGAATTTTTATCAGTATATTCATTTAGAGTCAAAAACTTGCAGAATATGAGCTACAAATTTAGCTAAATTTAAATTAAATGTACCCATCGCACTCAGGATAGGACGAATTAAAACTGTCTTGGAATTCTATACATAATACATCTATACATTTTTTAATAATTAATTTTTGAAATCTGATCATTCTTTAGGCCACATAGACTTAAAAAAGAATCTTATGCGTGAGCTCTCCATATTTCAGAATTCTAGTGAGTACATATTAGACAGTTTAAATCTGGAGATAATGACAATCAGTCTGGAACTTAGTTACTTTGAAATCTTGATGTTTCTTGTATTTGTCTGGCTTTTATTAATTTGCTGTTCTGTCGGGCTTGGTAACTACTTGATTCATGTTTAAGTTTAAAACATTCTCACCTGCTTCATATGCTTTCTATTTTTTTTTTTAAATTTGTCTCTAACTTTTGATAATGCAAGCAACATTTTCAGTGTTTGTTTTGAATATACCCTTGTTATGATTGTGTTTTCAGAGGGAAGTCTGATGGTAAATTTTCACCGAAACGTTGATAATTCTGTATCGCAATAAATATTTTAAGATAAGTTAAGATTACTAGTCTTTCCCACCTTCTACGAAATATACTTATGAAACTCTTACTTTCTGTTTACTATATATATATATATATATATAATATATATATATATATATATATATATATATATATATAATATATATATATATGTATGTATGTATACTGTACAGTGTATATATGAGCATGTTAATATAATAATATATTTACATACATAAATTAAGTTAGACTCATGGCTCTGCAGTTAACACTTAACTCGTTGGTGAGGAAACTTGAACAGCAGCCTACTTTAATTGGTCCTCATTACTTTACAGAACATTTGTATGACCAGCGTAGTGGCTCTTGGGGGTGGTGGTGTATTGTTGCCACAGGTAATTAGGAACTGTTATTGATAAAAGTGACATTTGAGTGGTGGCTACTTGCCTGTGTCTATTGTTTGCCGAGTAGTAGGAAGGCAATCCATCCTTCTCTTATGCTGAGCCGATCAGCATGCCCATACACTTAGTAAGGTAGCAGCAGTAGGTTAAAACTATCAGTAATCTGCTTAATATTAGTTGATTCACCTCTGCTTTGAGCGCAGTGTTTCAGAGAGATACTGTGTGTGTTTTTACTTTAATGCACCTTAGTCTAATTTGTATTATTGTCGTATGCATTTTACAAATTAATATTAGAACCCGCAAAACAAATGACAATCGTTCTATTCTCCATAAACATTATTAACACGAGTAAACGAAATCTGAAACGTACTTGACAAAAAATAATTTGATATTTTGCAGTGATAGGCATACGGGTTCATGCATACACCACCGAAAGAAAGGCAGGAGAGAGTAAATCACCAGAAAAAAGGGGCTAATCATCAAAGAATAAGGACAGGTATGGTTTGTGGATCCCTTCTTACTTCCTTCCAGATAGCTTGTCTTAGTTGTAGCTTCTAGAGCAGCATGCCTCTTCTTTGTGCATGTTCCGTCGTCATTCTTCTTCTGCCTTGACCCCTCTGCTCAAACTTGGTCCTTGTTCCTTTCCTTGTTTCCCCTATTATGTATTCCTGTGTTTGAATGATAAACTTTCCAGTCCAGTGACACAAAGCATACCTGCCTCAGTCAGATCTAAGGAATCCTCGGATCATGCCATGTCTGAAGTATCCTAGCCCAAATTAGTATGTTACAAAGCCTTTCTTTCTAAGAAGTATTGTAGTAATATGTTCAATGCGATATTCAACGTGCTATTTAACAAGGTCACACCAGATGATCTAAAAGATAGATTCTTACCTGTGTAAACTGCGAAAAATCAGCTTCATTTCCCCATCTCATTTAGCACCATTTGCTTTACCCGTTATCACGCTCGCACTCTCATTCTGTATACTATTGTTGATGGATATTTCGTTGCACATGCAGCTCTTTAACACCATATTTTGTTGATTTTATCTTCCCTCTGTCTCATCAAACTTTATGTATCCTCTTTCAATTTCCAGGTCTCTCTCTCTTCTCTCTTACGAAAATGATTATGACAATGACAATGATTCTAGCTATTGAGGGGACAAAGTGAGTAACTGTTTGCTTTGCAGCAACCAGCTTGCTTGTATCTATCTGCATGCTGGATAAGGTCGAGCTTAGTATAAATGAATGGTTGTTCCTCGTCGGTGTTCAGCATGCTCCACCCTTCAACATACACTTTATAATGGTCTGTCACAACACCCATTGGTTTAAGAGTTAGAGCAATAGGCTATAATTGTTGTTGCAATGTATACGCTAAAAGGGGGTGTTGTGATAGCTGTGATTACTAGCGTGATGACTGCTGTCCCTGGACAAGTGTCCTACCCTTCATAATGCTCTTTTACCCCTCACCCCAAGCACGTATCCCATTCCACCAGTCCACAACCTCGAGGGGAAAGGATTGAGTGACTTAACAGGAACACCTGAAGCTCGGGAAAGTGTAAATATTGAAAATTATGAATTTACACTGGTAGATTAATTTTGCATTCATGTCCCGGTGAGTAGTTTTAGGGTAGATATTTATAAGGCCTTCTCATTTAATCTGTAGAACAGCAGTAGATCGATTATTTTTCTGCCACCAAATATCTGTGTTGGATTTCTGCATTTCCTAAATCTACAGAAGGCCAATGCAAGTGGTTTGTTGTTGTATAATCGTTATTATTGGACACGATATGCCATAGCTCATAACACAGAAAAAGGCTTTAACTTTTTAGACAAAATATAAAATCATACCTCACTACCCTTACCTTTAGTTTTCAATCTGTCACACCCAACTTTGCAAGAATATAGTATGAAAGGTTATATACTTAGACCTTTGTCGTAATGAACAACATCACACCTTATGAAGAGAAAAGTTCCATCAAATCTGTACAGGATCTTTCACATAACTTAATAAAGTTATGTCATTTGCAGCTAGAAAATGCCAAAATGTCATAGCTACATAACTCTCCACTTATACTAATTTAGTAAAAACAATGGAAGCATAGGCTGCAATGTTATCGATATTTTTAAATTAATTTTAGCCCAAACAATTATGGTCTTACTTTGTTTTGTAGTTACAGTAATATTTATCTCCAACACAGACGTTTCGTGATATCATATTACTTGATTTTTGAAGTACAGTACATAGATTTCTGTAGATCAATTTGGTCCACGTACAGTACATAGATTTAAGTAGACACTATCTCATTATCTGCAATTGTTCATATACGGGACATGGTGACTTTGCTGTACTGTAATGCAATAGTGCCACTGTATTATACGGTATATAGTCAACTTATATTTGCTTGGTATATTACCATAAAAGCCTGGTTTAATATTACTACTTGCCTTAAATATGATAGATTAGGGATTGAACGTCTCATATAGCAATTCTATTTTTTTATATTAATCATTACATATTTTGCTGTATGTTTAGATCACTTCACATCAGCATGATTCACTAGTGAATATTTTGATGCAAGTTTCCAATCAGATTTTGTTTAGCTTGCATGACAGATAAAAATACAGTATCAGTCATACGTACTAAACCGTAAAAATGATTGATGGAATGTCAGTTTATTAAGATGTTCAAATATTTTGGCTATGGTATTCAAACGCTTAAAATATAATTGCGCAGTGATAATGATGATATAAATCAATATGCTATTCAGATTTTCATGTAATGATAACGAGACATGCGTTTTAGTTATTTATGCAGTTTTGAGCTGTGGTAGGTGCTTGTGAGGAGCAGAGGTGCAGATAGGCAGCTCTAGGCACACTCAACCAGCACAGAAGCTGGGCTGGCCTTGTTTCTTGTTTGTACCTGTTGTGGTGGTGGTGTTTTGGTAACGGTGGTGTTGTGGTTTAGCGGGCATGGAGGAGGAAACGGCGGAGGCGTTCTGAGCGGGTTCAAACTCGGACAGCCAACTTCGCCCTCTATGTTGGGCTCGAACCTCCTGCTGGCCCCCGCGTATCTGCCACAAGTGCACCCTACCCGCCGTGCCACGCTGCCCCCCCTGGAGAGGACGCCGCCCCTGCCCAGACCAGCAAGGTGATCCTTACCCTCCTCAAGTGTACCCAACCTCCTCACTCCTGCATGCCACACCTGTATCATCTGTTCCACTTCATACAGCGGTGTATGATAATAACACAATATCATTTCTTGCTACTTTTTCAACATCTGTTCTTATTATCAGTTAAATATCTAGAAATTCGTAAAAATATAAAGACAACGGAAAATGATACTATTCTTGTGTTGTAATTTAATACCGCTGGGAATTTAATATCTTAACACCATTTATTCGCAGACAACTGCTTCAATACCTATTTTCTGCTTCTGACAGCAAACTAAACTAAGTCACAGTCTTTAAAATCTGTTGCTTATCTTTCAAATACTATGCTGCTGCTTGCCGGTAGAAACGTTCTAATATATGTACAAAACGTCCTTATGCCTTTGTCGTACATTAGCTTATTCTCAAGACTGGAAACTTGGCATTTGGCAGTCGTGTCAGAAGAGCTTACTAAGATATCCTAAGTCGGTGGATGTCAAATCTTTGTCGCTGTCCCGGAGAAGAGAACTATTAATGCCTATTTTCCAGTCTGTGACGGAGGCTAAACTGTCATCCTTAATTATGCTTTCCTTTTCCATCCTGACGAATGTGAGTGCTATCCTTAATGGCAAACAGATTCACAGCTTGTCTTCCTTCCAGTCCTTTATATCTGTCACTCTCGGTGTCACTGACGGTGTGAGTTCACAGAACAAAGCCTCGGTCTTTTTTTCAGCAGCACTTGCGAGTAATTTAGGCTCAGAGATGTTCTGTCGTCAACTCACATCACGAGCAGTAGCACCAGAAGCAGCAGCATTTGCTGCTTCCGTACTGACGGCTTCTGAATAAAATTTGTGGAGGTCTTCCAGTCTAGGTTTCTAGTGCATGTGACGGTAAAATGAGAATTCCACCATATTGTGAAACTAATAAATTGTATAAATTACTCGCAAGATGTACTAGGGACGGGACTAGTTGTGTTGCATTTGCAACTCTGTGGCTGTTAGACTTTCTGAGCGGAAATAATAAGATAAAAGGTGAAAATTGGTGGAAACGTAATATATGTATCCAGATAGTTTTGGCATTTCCTCATTTAGGCATCCTGTGACCCTTGTAGGTTTAGCGTTTCTTTTTTATTATAATAATTTATTTTTTCCCTATAAACTTAATGCTAAGTAAAATATAACACAGGTAATATACGAGACACGAATGTGAGCAACTTTTAATATAGCAGCTATTGTTCTAAGATAACGTCTCCGGCCTGGGATATTATGGGACTTTCATGCTTGAGAATGTTAGTATATTGTTCTACATACATACCTTAACATTTCTGCCAATTTTCAGCTTTAATACAATTATTTTCTCTTTTATTTTTATCCTGAAGTGCCTGTGGTTAAGACGGTATAGTCATGGACTTGCAAATGCAAGGCCTCTGGTTCGAAGCTCAGTACTCCTTATGCAACACGGGGAAGTGCATGTTCAACATGACTTACGGTGATGCTTCGGCTTTGCAACTGCAAATGACAAAACTTTTTCCTCTGGACTAATTTTTATACGACTAGGATTAGACAAGTTCTCAAGTTATTCCCTAATTTTTACTCTTGTCTTGTGCATTGCTCTTGCTTGATTTTCTCAGTCTCTGCATGGTAAACTTTCCTTGTCTCACATCTTAATGTGTTTTTTACGCTTGATTCAAAATTGATACTGGTTTTCTCTTTATATTTTCCAACACGTTTGTTTATCATGAAAATACTGTATGCAGTTTATATGGTGAAAGTTGGGTCTATTTTCAACTTTCATAGTGTTTGTTGTTGTATATAATTAAAATATGCATGATATTTTCTTTCCAAGTGTTAGGTCGCACCATGTCTGACCTTTCTTTCTCTTTCAGTGTCTTCCAATCATGTGTTTTCATACTATAGGTTGGACGCGCTCTCACTGTCCCATCAGGTTTGTTAGTGTCAAAGAATAACTTTTAATTCCCTCTCCCCTTCCAGTTTTGCTTACAGTATCAACATCTGATGTACCTACAGAATCACATACGTCCCTACCGGTAGAGCCCATTCTCTCAGTGCATGTTATTAGTATCCTTAGACGGTATGTCTTTCTTTAATGAGAAAACTTAGATGTTACTTAAGGCAGTCTTAGAAAACTTTTAAGTATGACCATCTCCCAGCATTATCCTTCACTATTTTTCTACGTTTCTGTTCATGGAGCTTATCTAATATATAACTAAAAAATAAACCTGAAATTCTCTTGACAAACTCCTCACAAAATTTAGTTAAGTTCTGCTTTTATCTTCTAGTAATCTTCGCGTGATTCTGAAAACGATCTAACTTCTATAATTCTATTACTCGTTTTTTCACCTATCGAAGTTAGTATCAACATGACAATGGTAGTTTCTTCTCACTGGTTGAAGCAATATCCTCGTAAAGTAGATCTAGTGTCACTACTTTCCACGGATCCATAGTTAATTCATATTTAAATAAAGCCAATCATTTCCTTCACTGTTCCTAGTTCGCTCTTCTGTGCTGTATATGTGAGTTATAATCTCTGGAAAATTTACACCATTATGTTTACCTTAGATGCTGTACTAATATATCGAACACACCATAATCCTATTTTCTAGTAAGAATAGGGTGACATCTTTATCGCAGTGAGATAAGTCCTATTATAAAGAGAGAGTTTGCATCCACTATATATGACATTTCTGTCATGACACGAAATTTTAGCAACATTATTGCAAACAAATGAGAGTACGGGTGGAGCTGGAGCTCATATTAGGCGAGTCCTGACACTCAGACCAGTGAGCTTTAGGACTCGAACCACGGATGCGAAGCTTCACCCGTCCTGTGATTTGACATTTTTAGCTTCATGTAGCTGATAGTGCACTGAATTGCTTTAACAATTTGCAGATCTCTAGCGAATATTTTTACAGAAAACATAGTTGTATCTTCATAGTATGGCAAATCTTACCTACGTGTATTTAGTGCGACATTACTCAATTGTTATAATTGTAAATGTCTATAAGAAGGAGAGTTGTAGATATTATTAACAGAGAAAATCTTATTTGTAACAGGATAGCTTCTCCCCTTCCTCGGATGAAACATAAATACTACCCATTCTCCTGGAGTTCTTGGATCTACAGGTTTACCGCTTCCCATCATAAAGTAATAATTACGTAATATTTATAATACTACCAATAATAATAATAACATATAATAACAAAGACAACAGCAATAATAATAAAGACATCAATAATAATAATAATAATAATAATAATAATAATAATAATAATAATAATAATAATAATAAATAATAAAAATGGGCATAGCATCTATGACGCAGCTTCTTCGCGTTCAACTAATAACGACCATCGTTATACAACCTGAGGTTAAACTCCAGATGTTGATCGTCATGGGTTTATTGATTGTCACTGATTGCAAGAATGATAACCGGGATAAATCCATTATTCACACTGCATTAACAGGTGAAACACTGCTTAAGATAGCAAGACTTACCCATGAATGTTGTATCCCAGAGAATTAATATGTATCCCATGGAATATATGACAGACGTTGTATTTGAGATATATGTATTCCTTATATAACACATACATGCGAGACAACACAGATGTTGTATCCCTCAGACATAACACAGATGTTGTATCCCTCAGACATAACACAGATGTTGTATCCCTCAGACATAGCACAGATGTTGTATCCTCAGACATACACGATTTGTATCCTTCAGACATAACACAGATGTTGTATCCCTCAGACATAACACAGATGTTGTATCCCTCAGACATAACACAGACTTTGTATCCCGGAGGCTTAACAAATGGAATAGTCAAGGCATCACAGGCGAACCAAGAAAAAGCCTAAATAGGATAAATCACCGTGAATCCCCTTTCCTGTATTCCCGTTGGCTACGTTTGTCCATTATCCTTCCCTCCTTGCCAGCTGGCTACATTTATCCATTATCCTTTCCTCCTTGCCAGCTGGCTACATTTATCCATTATCCTTTCCTTGCCAGCTGGCTACATTTATCCATTACCCTTTCCTCCTTGCCAACTGGCTACATTTATCCATTATCCTTTCCTCCTTGCCAGCTGGCTACGTTTATCTATTATCCTTCCCTCCTTGCCAGCTGGCTATGTTTATCCATTATCCTTTCCTATATGCCACCTGGCTCTGCTTATCTATTATCGTTTCCTCTGTGCCAGCTGGCTATGTTATAATAATAATATATTTACTACAAGTACATGTACAAAGGTACACAGTCCTAGCTGACATCAATAGACATACTACTATATAGAAAGCCGCTTATTATGCTGAGCATTTCGGGCAAATTAGGTCAGTTTTGTCCCAGGATGCGACCCACACTAGTCGACTAACTCCCAGGTACCCATTTTACTGATGGGTGAACATGGACATCAGGTGTCTCATGGAAACGCGTCCCTAATGTTTTCCAGCCGTACCAGAGGAGATTTCCTATACGCCACCTGGCTATGTTTATCTGTTATCGTTCCCTCTGTGCCAGCTGGCTATGTTTGGCCATTATCCTTCCCTATATGCTACCTGGTTATTTTATTATTCTTCCATCTGTGCTAGCTGGCTATGTTTGGCCATTATCCTTCCTTATATGCCACCTGGTTATGTTTACTATCCTTCCATCTGTGCCAGCTGGCTATGTTTGGCCATTATCCTTCCTTATATGCCACCTGGTTATGTTTATTATCCTTCCATCTGTGCCAGCTGGCTATGTTTATCCATTATCCGTCCCTATGCCAGCTGGCTACGTTTATCCATTATCCTTCTCTATACCAGCTGGCTATGTTCATATATTATCCTTCCCTCTATTCCAGCTGGGTATGTTTATCCATTACCTTTCCTGCATCCCAGCTGGTTATATTTATCCATTATCGTGCCAGCATCGTCCCTCTGTATTAATATTACAATGATAAGATACAGTTAGCTTCATTAAAGATTAATAAACTAGATTTTAAGTATTCCTCATACATAGATGATGCACGAACAGACATTGTAGCTCAGGTTTCGTATATTCACCTAGCAGTAAGTAGGTACCTGGGTGTTAGTCGACTATTGTGGGTCGCATTCAGGGGATGGTAGTATAGCAAGGGCTAGGCTTTAAAAGGAGCTGAGATAGGATAACAGCTCTTAGCCCGTAATATTGATGTGTAATGAAAGACATAAGTTAAACACTTAAAATTTTCTGAGGCAAATTCGTTCATTAATTGTTTCCTCTTAAAAAGACCATTGATTTTTACATATATAATTTTCATACGGCTTGATATAGTGTATTTTTTCCTCTATAATTTACGTGATATATTTACACACTTGTGTTCCAATTTTTATACTGTCTTCTGCTTAACTTCGTCTTTTCATGTTTGGTAAAGATTTTTTTCTCATATATCTGTGTTTCTTCTGACACTGACCATTATACAACGGAAGACATTTCCTCTCGCATTACACCTGTCTTTCATATATCTTTTGTTTTCATCTCCTTATCTACCTTTTTCGCTCTCTTCACAGTTATTCCTTCTTATGCCCTAACCTTGTACCACTTAGCTACTTGCTGGTTTGAAGGCGAATAAAATAAAGAGAGCGACAGGTATGGTAGAGTTCTTACAGCAGAGCCAGACTTGCATTGCACTAATTTTTACTGAGATGACAAAAGCTCACCTGTGATCCATACATCGTATAAATAAAAGTACTCTGCTATAAATGTCTCTGTTCCTGTGCAACGTTCTTGTAGACAACTCGACTAACAAGCAATTCAGTAATCTGATCTGCTGTCATAAGTCAAACTTGGCGATTAACACCAACAAGTATGTAAGAAATATTGGCATGCGGGTATTAAGGTTAAGGCATTTACTGAAAATACGTTTCGCCCACCAGGGGCTTCTTCAGTCCAGAGAACTAGAACCTAATGGGCGAAACGAATCCTCAATCAATGTCTTAGTACCTATATAAGTGTCCTTCTTATGTCTGCAGCCATTATAGCACCATACTTCTGTCATATCTTTATCTATTTGTTAATTTATAATATTTTAGCTATACACTACTAGAGGGTTCTCAATTAAATTCTAATAGCCGGAAATTTATGGACCTATCACCCAAATTTAATATTAGGTTTAGATTTTTTTTGAGCTTATGTAACACTGCTTGGGAGTGCAGACAGTCTGACTGAAGTTAACAGTTAGACTACCTCTGCTGAGCCATGTTATAGTCAAGAATCAGTGTTTTATAATACTTATATACTTGTTGATATTAATATGATTCTGTTGGTTTTAAATATTTTTGATAATAAACTTCCATTTTACAATCAAATTAGACAATATTCGAATGTTGGGATGTGTGTGCCATGTTTATGAGGATATAAATAGCAGGCAGAACAATAAAATATAAGTAAAATGAAAGTTGAGGAGATTCTGAGGCAACACTGCTCTTATGTAGACAGTATCATGATGAAACAGAAGGGTCAGGCTATGTTGAATGAACATGAATAAGAATGTTATCCATTTCAGCTTCGGACCATCGTTATATCGCGTGGCAGTAACAAGGTAAATTTATATTGTCTTGGTTTAACCTTTACTGATAGCCAATGCTTTAACTCATGCCTGTCTGCACACTGAAATCGGCACAGCCTGACGATTGAAAATTAAGAGCCATCCTTAACTGTGAGCAAACCTGACTACCTCCCATTCCCTAGGTATGATCCGTACCTAGGGAATGGGAGGTAGTCAGGTTTGATCTAAGGAAGAGGCGGGTGTCTCCAGCTCCTTGGATCATTAGCCCTTCACCAGTCCGTACCATTTTTAACCAGCCTTTATAGACAATATTTGGACAAAAAGAAATAAATATAAGAGTCACAACACCTTGGCTGGACCAATTCATAACCGACCCGTAAATTGGAGATGACAACTAGATGAGGTTTTGGTCTGTCTTGGACCATTCTCCAGTCATAATGATGAAAGAAAAAGGAGAAATTAGAAACTCTTCCCTAACGTGAGTTATATCTTTCCTTTTCCTTATCATTTGCTTCATATAGACTCGTCCATGATGGACCGTAAGGTCATCCATTTTACATTTCCAATTTATGGGTTAGTTGTATAACTGAATCAAGAGTTGACGAAATGTGTTATATTGTTGGCTCACATTACAGTTTTTGGCTCACACTGTGTGGGTTTGGGCATCTTTCCACTTTTATGACTTGTTTCCTCCCTTGGCACGGTTATGCAATGTGATCACCCCAAAAAAATTGCAAGTGCAGCAGGAATGCTCTTGTCTACCTACGAGAAAGTTTTGCCTCAGTTATTTCTCTTGAAATGTTCCTCTTTTGCGAGAGAAAGTTACAACTTATCGCTTCACTGTATTAGAATAGATATGGGCAAATAAATTATGCTTTCGGTGAGTTGAGATGGGCAAAAAGACTAATGAATCCTTTTTAATTTACCTTAGTGACCTAGGCTGTCAAAATCGCTGGTCAAACATCTGTCTCCTTTTGTTGGCAGTATTTTTAATTCTTGTGTAATAAAATCATATCTTTATTGAATTATTTATCAGCTTACACTTGCCAATATGGAAATTGGTCAGTTTAGAGCTTACGACACTTTACAAAAGTTCAGATTGAAGAAAGTCAAAACTTTCTCGAATCTGTCTATAGGTACAGTCTTTTCATATTGTACAGGCAGACCTTAATAAGTATCGCAATGGGAGATCCTCTCCGTCCAGCCCTAGCCAATCTGTTTATAGAATACCTTGAAGCTGAACGATTCCCATATATTAATTCCTGTTCAGATTCGGTTTTCATATATAGATGACATCTCAGGTGCGTACAGGACAGTGTTTTGAGACCTCGAATAATTTAAATAACGTGAACCATTCCATCACATACGAATAGAAAACCGAAATTCAACTCATACTCTATAATGATCAAATTGATTGGGTTGATGGTAATATTGAAACAACCGTGTATAGAAAAAATCGCAGTAATAAGAGAAAAGGCCTGTATATGTCAGTCTGTGTTTTTGAAGGCTTAATATTACATGAGTCTACGAAGATTTATTCATTAAAAACTTAAACTATAATATTTTCATATTACCTACATTGATTCTTCTTCAGGGCTCATTTTACTGCTAGAAAGTATTTATGTGCAGTTTAGAATCACATCTCTAAAGAGTTTAACAAGTGAGATGTGTGTCAGAGTTGTGCATTACTATAACATACACATACACCAAACACCATCAACAGATTAATAGTTGTATTACACAAGGTATATAATACCGATAAATGTTTAAATTACATACATTTGTAGCGTTAGGAAACTACATATAGGTAAGTTTCGCTTACCAGGAGCGAAATCACACTGGAACAAGATAGGATATAACCCTGAGACGATTTCAAGGGTCACCAAGCCGTGGGTAAGCTTCCCTATTTTTGCTCATACAAGCTGAAGAAATCATGTGACGTATCATAATGGTACTGGGTCTAAAATATTATTTACAAATCATGGTAATATGATAAGTTTATTCCTACAGCAAACGTGTAAGGCAGAAAATCAAGCTTTTGGTTGTAATTCATGTTAAGGCAATAAGGTAAGGAAAAGAAATAGGCTGTGTAGGCCTAAAGAGTGTTTAGATGGGTGGGGAAATGGGACGAAGAGGCACAACACCGAGCACGCTACAGATATCCCAAGGGCATTTATTAGTTTTAACCACTGATAAGCCCCACTGATGCCTTGGGTTACATTTTACTTAATTCCCATTGTTATCTCAGGTTACATTTGTTACTTCGTTCCAACACACAATAACTCCCTTTTAATATCGTTACACTACACTTCGAAATATTTAACATGACAAACGTGCCAATCTACCTGTAAAGCTCTCGACAGATTGCAAATAATTTAACTTCGAACTTAAACAAATTTACGAGTTTAGGTGTGAGACAAGAATGGCAGCAACCTGCTTGGAATAACACCAGCAAAACTGGCCTGGTCCATGGTGATCTTAAAGAGCGTTACTAACGAGTGGCCGTGGATTTAACGTTATTCTTTATTATTACCCCGCGAGTACATTCTGACTTGAGCGTTTTCCGTACAAGTTAAGCTTGCACCTAGTCTGTAGAATAGGAATATTGATAGTGCGTATTCTTTATGTGTCCATTAACCAGCCGCGTAAACAACATAGAGATTAACACCATTTTTGTTGCAGCCCATAGAATGCACCTCATGCAAGACATTAATTAGAAGTGATATTGGTGCCAAGTTTATACAGTAAGTGTGAAGCTTAATGATGTGTTTTTTTTTTCCCCTCTAGCACCTATTTCCATCACACCTATGCATGATTACGCAAACCTATCATAGTCAACACTCATGAGTATAAAGAATAATTGTTTTTATGCATGGAGCTCCCTTGATAGATGCCTTAATGCTGGGAAAGGGCTCTTAAGTCAAGGAGTTGGAGTTACTCTACTCTTCCTTGAATAAAACCTGATTGCCTCTCAGTCCCCAAGTACTGTATGTATGGGTTCAGGGCTTCACATTAATAGTAATGTGGATGTAGGCTTTGCCTGAGTTTACACTCATTCTTCAGTTTTTTTTTAAGAGACTCAGTATGATCGTGACTGTTACATACGAGCATATTGATCCTCTATATATGAATGACAAACTTTTCAACAGTTAGCTTAAGAGTCATATGCTTATTTTCTACCCCCATTCAAGGTCTGTGAATTTATATTCTTTTTATTTGATCATTGGTGCGTAAAGTCTGTAAAACAAGTAGTTTTTATTGATGTTCTTGAACATTATTGTAATAATGATTGTAACAGCCTTTTGACCTAAATTTTATGGGGACCCATTTCCAAGGTTTTCTCACAATCACTTAGTGTTGTGTAGACAGTGAAGTAGACAGTGTGTACTCTTCCATATTGCTCTTCATATATGTGCGTATCATGTGTATTGGTGTACTGACGTTAAGTTGCAAGTTATTCATACATACATACCTGCATATATACATACGTACACACGTACGTACACACATACATATACATACACACATACATACGTACGTACATACACATACTGTATGTATACATGCAGCTTAGCGTTACTGCACATAGTTGTACCCTCGGATACTAGTCAAGTTAGTGGCCATAATATCGTTCAGTGACTATTTGTCATCCACGTTTTTAGAAGGAATGTTCTATTGATCTGATTAATATTCCAATGATTTGCATTTAATAAATCTTCAAGTCTTGTGACAACTGTGGATGACTCACGCGAATTTAGTACGTTTTTTGAATAATAATTATAATACTCCAATGGTGTGAGTTTTTGCCAGTGAAAAGCATTATATTTCTGGGGAAGCGTTAAACACCCAGGGGTTCAAGAACTATCAATATTAATATGTATAACTGCACCACATAAATATTAGTGATCCAGTTTGTTTTTATTAAAATTTTCGAACTGGAGTTACGTCTGGAACGCTATATATATGAATATACTCCACTAATATCGAATTTCACAAGTACTGTAGTTAGTTCAAAAAGTAGTGCATGTAATAGATGGCATGTGAACGTCAATGTTTCCTTACAGACGTTGAGCTCAGATAGCTTGTGCTGACAGCTTACCTAACTAGGCTGAAACGTTGGATCGAAACCAGCTATTTTATCTCTATGTTTATTACCCTATTCCAGCATGCGGGCATTTTGGGCAAGGTTTTCTTCTTTATTGATAATGGCATAGTAGGGACACGTAATATTTAGAGAACAGTGAGTTTACCTGTTAATCATAGAGACGACTTACAGTCTTAATAACCCTCGTGTTGTCGTTTACCTTTCAATAGAACCACTTCTAAATCATTTGAGGCAGATTCCGCATGATTAAATTTGTTTCTAGTGTGGTTGATGATCAAACAAATCCCTTCAGTTACTACATAGGATTATTGCCCTCTATACCTATTTAGCTTAACGTCACCTTTCCATTATTTGAGCTTGTAATTAACTAGTGTTTTCCTATTTTTTTCTCTAGTTGGTTTTTCTTCTTCAGGATACCAGCAGTTTGCTTAGAGGTGTTTGTGTTCCTAATTTAGATCATATATTGAGCCTAGCTGAACACTCCATATTTTGCACTGATGCGTTTGTGATTTTCCGGTTTTTTATCAGTATTTAATCTACTGATTACTCAGGTTAAATTGAAAGCATTGCATTAAAAGTGAAAATCAGTAATTTACACGAATTTGTATTTTAGCCAGTATAAACGCCTTAGTTATTTACCCTATGGAATTAAAATTTATTTGTATGTTGATATGAGTATTCCCACTAATGCAATGAATTGATCACTTCCAACTTTAAATTGCAAGTTATATCTATCGTAGATCCCAAGCGGTAAATAAGATGAAAAATAATGGTAAATTATATTATTTCATTTTTTTTTTTTTTTTTTTTTTTTTTCATCTCGATGCCATATTACTGTGCATAGGACTGTAATTTTGAAAGTTGGTCTTCCTAAATGATATATGTGGTTGAATGATGTATGTTTATTACTGCAGTAATTAACATATAT